CCGTAGGCGCCACTGTCCGCGAGCCGCAGGGCGGGGTCGGCGTTCCCAGGAAACAGTAACGTTTTCTTGCAGATTAAGTTGTAACACTTTTTCTGGGAGGTGCAGAGAGGTCGAGGCTTTTGTTTTAAACCGTTCCCCGGGACAAAACCGAGGAGGGCCTCGCGGGTTGGTGCGGGGCAGGCACAAGGCGCGGCCCGGCTGGTTTCTCCCGGAGAGCCGAGGCGGCGGTGGTCTTTGTCCGCCTCGCTGCCCACGCCGCCCGCAGGCTTTGTGTGCGTGTCAAGCCCCGAGCGCACGGACGCGCGCCTTGGGCGAGCGCCGGGGAGAAATGAACCGTCCTCCCCCTCAATTAGCAAACTCAAAGCAAATTAAACTCAGCCTTGTTCCAGCTCCGCTTTTTCACGGGGCACTTGGGGGGACTGGGGCCGTCGGGGAGAGCGAGCTGGGACCTGGGCTGGACTCTCCGACGAGGGAGCGGAGCGGCCTGTGGCGGTGCCCTCGGAACAGGGCTCCCGGGCGCGGGGATGCAGCCACCGCGGTCTCCTCACCTGCACCTCAGCGGTGGAGAAAGTTTGGGCGGCGTTGCTCTCTGGTCTGGTCCCGGAATAGGGACCCGCCGCCCAGGCTCCCCAGGGGGCGATGGGGACTGCGGCCCAGCGATTCCCTTCCTCACCCCCAGACCTGTAGCAGCCGCTCTGGGCAGGCCAGGCTGCCGGGGAGCCCTGGCGCAAGGGATGTGACCAGGGTGGAAGCTTGGCCCTGTGCCGTCTTGGGGCTGGTCAGGAGGGGGCAAGAGAAGACTCTCCCTCTCTTCTCTCCCCTTTCTCAGTTTCTTTCTTCCTCTTTAAACTGAGGTCTTTCAGAAGCTTTCACTTTTGAGAGTCTTGGGTCGGCCCCCAAGGCTCCTGCGCCCCATGTCCCTCCTGGCTTCCTTGGCACAACCCCCTGCCACCCAGGCTTGCTCACCTGCAAGGACCCTGGGCCAGAAGGAAGCGCAGGGAAGTCCCGGCTGCCTACCCCGGGCTGGGCTTTGCAGAGGAGGCGCTCCATTTAGGCAACGCCGGAAACCCAAGAGAAGAGGAACACCCTGGGCCCCGCAGGAAGCTGCAGCAGCTGGAGAGACGTCTTTCCTGCTCCGGCTAGGTAGCGGGAGTCAGGGACGCGTCTCTTATTTTATTTTTCTGTAGTTATCATGTTTATAGGGGTTTCCCATGCTTTGCGAGGCTTTGGTTCTCAGCGGAAGGTGGGCGCCCGGTTCAGGGCGCGGTGAGAAGGGCTGTGCCCTCCGGACCCGGCCGGTGGCTCGGGAGGGCGCGGGGCAGGGAGCCAGGCCTCCCCCCTCCGCCCGCGCGCTCCGGGAGCTCTGCCCCCCGAAGGGAGGCCTCTGGACGCGCCCCGGGGGGCTGGACGCTCTGTTCTCAGACGGGGTCTGGGCCCCGCGAAGGCCGAAGAGACAGGAGGGCGCTGTGGAGGAACTAACGCGCCCCTTCTGCCTCTGGCCCGCAGGTAAAAGTATGGTTTCAGAACCGAAGGACCAAGTTCAAAAGACAGAAGCTGGAGGAAGAAGGTTCAGACTCGCAGCAAAAGAAAAAAGGGACGCATCACATTAACCGGTGGAGAATCGCCACCAAGCAGGCGAGTCCCGAGGAGATAGATGTAACCTCAGACGATTAAAAACGCAAACCGAGCCCCACAGACGGACGGCACGGAGCAAAATCAGAGACAGGGAGAGGAGGGGAAGACGGGAAACGAAAAACAAAAACAACCCTACAAAACAAAAACAAACCGCACACACACATTCACCGAGACGGGGAGAGGGAGCCGCGGGCAGCCGGCAGCGAGCGCGCGGGGCGGACTTTGGGCGGCGAGGGCGCAGGGTCCTGATCGAGGCCGCGCCAAGTTGTTAGAGGACAGAGGCTCCTTGATCAACTTGCACCCCTTGTCTAAAGAGGCAGCTGAGAGAGGGAGAGGGAGAGAGGGAGAGAGGGATCCCAATGTGGCGAAGAGGAAGGCGCCCTGACAAGGGGAGCTGTCAGTCAAACGCCAAACCAGCCGGACAAGATGATTGGCAGGTATTCCGTTTATCGCAGTCCGACTTTTTTTTTTTTTTGGTTAAAAAAAAAGATGATAATGATGATAAAAGAAAAAAAAAAACCCAACCAGGCACAGGACTTTTTATTTTGCACTTCGCAGTGTTTCCCCCCAACCTTTAAAAATAATTAGTAATAATAACGATTGAAATTCCATATCCAGCCCCATCCCACACATGTTCAAAAACTTGAATTGCATGTAGCAGTTGTTGGGCGAATGGTGTCTGAAGACAGAAAATGAATTGTAATTCTCTTTTCCTTTTAAAGGCAGGTTCTGTGTGCTTTTTATTTTGATTTTTTTTTTTTCGAGAAATGTGCAGTCTGTAAACACTTTTTGATACCTTCTGACGTCAAAGTGATTGTGAAAGCTAAATGGGTAGGCTCAGCGATAGTGGTCCTCTTACAGAGAAATGGGGAGCTGGATGGGGGGGGTCTGGGAGGGCTGGGGAGGGTGCCCACAAGAGGAGTCAGGAATTGTGTTGGAAAAAAATACCTAAATTAATTGTTTCTTGGACATTCCCTTTCCTAACATCCCAAGGCTTAAAATCATGAAGTAAACTCCTTTTAGTGGTTGGAAATATTGGCTGAGTTCAACCATTCACTGCAAAGGCCATTCCAAACTTTCAATCAATCTATTGCAAAAAAACCGAAGGACTGTAGTTAGCGGGGATGATAGTTAAGTGTGGCCAAAGACACGGCGGCAAGTTTTCAAGCACTGAGTTTCTATTCCAAGATCATAGACTTACTAAAGAGAGTGACAAACGCTTCCTTAATGTCTTCTATACCAGAATGTAAATATTTTTGTGTTTTGTGTTAATTTGTTAGAATTCTAACACACTATATACTTCCAAGAAGTATGTCAATGTCAATATTTTGTCAATAAAGATTTATCAATATGCCCTCAGAGTAGTCGTCTTGGGAAACCGAAGTAAATTTTTTCTTAAAAAAGTTATGTCCAGTAATTGGAGTGTGGTCCTTCCCTAACCAGGCTCAAGAAACCCAGCCTCCCCACCCACAAAAGGGCCAGACTGATGGATTCCTGGGCATTTTAAAGAGAGATGAGGGTAGAGAGCAGAGAGGATTAGGAGAACTTAAGTCCCTCAGAAAAGGGATGGGAGATAAGTTTTTCCCAACCAGACCTTTGCCCACTGCAAGGCCTACTGAGGGAGTTTAGTTTCAATTACAGGTTAAAAATGCCAACTTCTTTTGCCTCTGGCTATCTTTTAAAAATCTAAACATAGTTATGTATCGAAGAACATTCCTCCAGGATTGGGGAAACCATGTAGCAGAATCAGAATCCTGGGACTTCGAAACTGTTTCTGACTTTAAACCCCAAAGTACAAGTCTCGGTCGGTCTGTCTCTCAGTCTCTCTGTCTCTCTGTCGTCTCTCTGTCTCTCTCCTTCCTTCCTTCTTTCTTTCCTTTCCCTCTGTCCCCAATCTGTCTGAGGTGGTGAGGCGGGCCCAAGGGCCTCAGCAGCCTTATAAGGCAAGCGTCCCCGAGAAACCTCCAACTCTTCATTTTAACATTAAAGAAAAAGTTGTAACCGGTCTTGGAGGAAACTTTGCTCCCCCCTCCCCCCTTCTGGGGGTGCGAGGTTGTTTTTGCATGCTTCATTTGCTTTTTATCCTGATAGGCTGCATTAATCAGTTTTATTTCCATTGATAGAGAAACCTCGTCTGTTCTGTTCGAGCTACAAAGCGTCCTGCGAGCTTTTGTGAAAGTGCAAATCAGTTTAAGCAATTATCATACCAGGAATATGAAGGGGGTAGCGGAGGCCTTGCCCAGTGGTCTCCTTTAATCTCTTAATCCACGGATCCAGGGGGGCTGCCTGGACATAATTTAGGACAATCTCCCCACCCTTTACACTGTGATAAGGCCAAGTTACAATGCAGGGCAAAAATACGAGCTTTGTTAACATCCTGCCTTGAAAAGTTAAGATTAGACATTCTGTGCACGTGTGGGGACTATAGGGCACTATGGAAATTTTTCTTTCTTTTACCCCCTCCCCTCCTCTCTTCTAAAGTGGAATTCATTCTCAGTCTTTCTCCCTCTTTTTTCTTTATTTCTGCCTCCCCCCCCCCCC